ATATTTTAAACCTGAAACTCTAGAGCAGTTCTGCTCCGTAACACATGGGGCACAATACTTCGAATGACTCCGGGGCACAGGAGGGTGGCGACAAGCCACAGAGCAGAGCTGCAACCACCGTTTCCTGGGGTGGACAGGGATGAGGGGAGGGGTGGGCTTCACGAGGAGGCAGCACACACTTCATCTTGGAGACATCTCAGACATCTAGCTAGAGTTGTCAAGGAGGCCATGGACGTGAAGGTGGCACCTCGTTTTTAAAAAATGAGTATTTTGATGGGGGCACCTAGGCTAGGAGACCAGCAAGCCCATTTCAGCAAAATAGGTATGCCTGCTCGTATCACAGTAAGCATAACTTCCTGTGTCAGTGTTTTCCCTTCTTTCAGGATCACTCGTGAGCCCTCAGCCTTCTGACCTTCATTTCTGCTGTCACCTAAGCATGCTGATACTTCATGGGCTGCCTAGCTCCTAGGTTCCCACCTTGGCTAATCTTTGGAATCTGCTGGGGATCTGGTGAAACTACAGGTCCTTAAGCGCTATTTGTAGGGAAGGCAGCCCAGGGACCTGTAGTGGCAACAGGTGATTCCAGTGATCAGCCAAATTTGGGACTGAGGACCTAGATCTTTGTCCTGAAACCCTCACCCAAAACACCAGGACCCTTTCAGCTACAATTAGGGCAACTTTACTTTTCTTCAGATTTTTTGAGACCTGTCCTTTATGAGCCCTGGCGGCTCGCCCTGGGGCTACTTTACAGCAGGGAATGCCTAGAGGCTCCTGTCATGGGGATGAAGAAGAGCTAATGGAATTAACAAAGGGCAAAACAATACTCCAAACTTGCTGCCCTGGGGTCCGCCGACTCACAGAGACACTATCGAACAGGGTAGATATGCCCCGCAGGTTTCCAAGATTCACTGGGGCTCTTACAACTCTTATCACAATCCATACATACGTCAACTGTGTAAAGCACACTTACACATTCGTTGCCCTCATCATTCTCAAAATTTGCTTTCCGCTTGGACGGATGTTTCTTACATACATCTCTACGGACACGCATGAAATTGACTTGTGAACAAAACCACCCATTTTCTTTAGAAAACATGTTTTATTTAAAAACATTAATTATACACTTATACATGAAATTGTAAGACTGTATTTGTGTAAATTTTTTTTTTTTTTTGCTGTGAGAGTGAAGCAGCGAGAGCGTGAGGCAGTGAGAGAGTGTGTGTGCGACAGTGAGTGAGACAATGAGTGAATGAGACAGTGAGTCAGTGAGTGAGGCAGTGAGAGTGAGCGTGAGCAACTGAGTGAGGCAGTGAGAGTGAGGCAGTGAATGAGTGAGAGGAGAGAGTGAGGCAGTGAGTGAATGAGACAGTGAGAGAGTGAGACGGAGTAATTGAGACAATGAATGAGACAGTGAGAGTCACTGAATGAGGCAGTGAGAGAGTGAGACAGTGAGCCACTGAGTGAGGCAGTGAGTGCGTGTGAGTGAGGCAGTGAGTGAATGAGACAGAGTGAGAGAGAGGCAGTGAGTGAGTGAGGCAGTGAGACAGTGAGAGTGAGTCACTCTGTGCGGCAGTGAGTGAGTGAGACAGTGAGAGTCAGTGAATGAGGCCGTTCAGTGAGTGAGACAGTGAGTTGAGTGAGAGTGAGTCACTGAGTGAGGCAGTGAGACAGTGAGTGAGTGAAAGTGAGGCAGTGAATGAGAAAATGAGTGACTGAGGCAGTGAGTGAGACAGAGTGAGAGTGACTCACTGAGTGACGCAGTGAGAGTGTGTGTGCGGCAGTGAGTGAGTGAGGCAGTGAGTGAATGAGACAGTGAGAGTCAGTGAATGAGTGAGTGAGATAGTGAGAGTCAGTGAATGAGAAAGTGAGAGAGTGAGGCACTGATTCAGTGAGGCAGTGAGAGTCAATGAATGAGAGAGTGAGGCACTGATTCAGTGAGAGAGAGTGAGACGGAGTAATTGAGACAGTGAGAGTCACTGAATGAGGCAGTGAGTGAGACAGTGAGAGGGTGAGGCAGTGAGTGATTGAGACAGTGAGAGAGTGAATGAGACAGTAAGAGTGAGTGAGTGAGTCACTGAGTGAGGCAGTGAGTGAGTGAGAACGTGAGACAGTGAGAGTGAGTCACTGAGTGAGGCAGTGAGAGTGTGTGCAGCAGTGAGTGAGTGAGGCAGTGAGAGTGTGTGTGTGCGGCAGTGAGTGAGGCAGTGAGAGTGAGACAGGGAGTAATTGAGACAGTGAGAGTCAGTGAATGAGGCAGTGAGAGAGTGAGAGTGAGCCACTGAGGCAGTGAGTGCGTGTGAATGAATCAGTGAGTGAATGAGACAGTGAGAGTCAGTGAATGAGAAAGTGAGTGAGTGAGGCAGTGCGAGAGTGAGTCACTGAGTGAGAGCGTGAGGCAGTGAGAGTGTGTGTGTGCGGCAGTGAGTGAGGCAGTGAGTGAGTGAGACGGAGTAATTGAGACAGTGAATGAGACAGTGAGAGAGTGAGACAGTGAGCCACTGAGTGAGACAGAGGGTGAGGCAGTGAGTGCGTGTGAGCGAGACAGAGAGAGTGAGAGTGAGACAGTGAGTGAATGAGACAGTGAGAATGAGTGAGTGAGTCACTGAGTGAGGCAGTGAGTGAGTGTGAGACCGAGACCGTGAGAAGTGAGTCTCACTGAGTGATGCAGTGAGAGAGTGTGTGTGCAGCAGTGAGTGAGTGAGGCAGGGAGTGAATGACACAGTGAGTGAGTGAGACAGTGAGAGTCTGTGAGTGAGGCAGTGAGAGTGAGTCACTGAGTGACGCATTGAGAGTGTGTGTGTGCGGCAGTGAGTGAGTGAGTGAGACAGTGAGAGAGTGAGACGGAGTAATTGAGACAGTGAATGAGGCAGTGAGTGAGTGAGTGAGTGAGAACGTGAGGCAGTGAGAGTGAGTCACTGAGTGACGCATTGAGAGTGTGTGTGTGCGGCAGTGAGTGAGTGAGACAGTGAGAGAGTGAGACGGAGTAATTGAGACAGTGAATGAGGCAGTGAGTGAGTGAGTGAGAATGTGAGACAGTGAGAGTGAG